CAGAATGGGTTGAAAACCATAGGGTGGAGTATATGCATGTGAGATGCGGGGTTAGCTTATGCTTGCTTTAGGGGGTTTGGGGTTATAGTCCCCCTTCTTAAATAGACAGACTATGGGGTATATGGGGATCTTATGATGATATGCCCAAAGCCGTATCTATCTACTTAAGGGGGACGATAGGTTTTTTGGGTTTGAGATGTAGGGTTTGGGGGCGGGCTCTTTTACAGGAGGGGGTGGACCCCACGGAAGACCAAGAGCTCGAGAACTATAGCTCCGGTTGAGTGTTTGAGGGCCTAGTAGTGACTGCGACCTTGAACTGGAAGTCTCCAAAGCCTTTACGTAGATGTTGGGGGTCATTGGAGGTTGTTGGGGTTACCTTAGCATGCTTCCTAGGTATACAACAAATCAGAATCACTGGAAGAAAAGCCTGGACCATTTTAAGCAGGTGGGCCTCTTTGTCACGAGCTTACAGAAGATGAACTGGCAGCTGGCATGTTGTGGAAGCTACCAAATCCTCAGCCAACGCCAGGGCAGCAGCAGGAAGCCTGTTCTTACAGTAGATGACTAGCAGCCTGGCTGGAGACTAGTAACTCGCGTCAAAGATGTTGCCTGCCTGCCTGCCTACCTACCTACCTACCGACTTACTGGGTGGCTAAAAGACGATTATCCCAAATCATGGGGAAACATCAATGCCACGCGGGCCCCTACAACCTCCTGACAAAACGTATGCATGTAAACAGGCACGATGAAGCTTGGATGCCTGATGCCCTACGTTGGTCAGTCTTGCATCTAAGGATTCCATCATCGGCAAGCTAGGAGAAGGCGCCCGTTGTCGTCAAGGGATCACCAGCCCCACTGAACACAGTTCTCAAGCTTCCATTGTTTAAAGCTTTTCTAGTGCCACCCTCAACCCCGGACTAGAATTTGAACTCCTATAACCTCTAGTCGATACCCAGCCGGGATGATTCACGTCACTGGTCCTGAGACGAGAGAAACAACTATACCCCTAGGTGGGGATTGAAACCAAAGTTTGAAGACCAGCTTTTGGTTTAGGGTTTAGGGTTATATAGGGGTTATATAGGGATAATGGAAAAGAAAATGGAAACTACTATATTATGTAGGTTTAGGGCTTTGGATTTGTGAATCTGGCTGGAGAGAGCCATAAGACATTATGTGGCTTGACGGTGGGGGGCGGCGCCCCAGGTGAAGAGTCTACCGTAGAGGCCTACAAAATTCCCCCTATCGTGGTCCTATATGTATAGACCTCTAAATGATATGGGCAGTTATTGAGGCCCTCTAGTAGGGATCAGCAGAGTTCCACTGGGATTGGAGGTCCAAGCCTGGATCCTCTTTCACCGATCTACTCTAGCGGGATTTTATCATGCAGCCATATCTATACCTCGTAGTCGCAAACTACCACCCCGGCCAGCATTTCAGAAGAAGAGTGACCGCAAGCTTTATGGCCTCTATTTCAAAATATTCGAGTGCTCAGCCTTAGAACGCGCTATTATTTACCATGTAAGATCATGTAAGGTCTTCAAACGCATGTGGGCCGCTGAAAATCTTCATCCATCCTGGCTTACCCCGAATGCAAGGGGCCGTATAGTAGGGACCCTAATATTGACAACCTTCCACTTGTCATGAACCCACGCTACTAACATTTTCTGTTTTTGATGTCTGCTCCCGATTTGCCGACTTCTCCTGTCACCCTCCGTCCTTGCTTACTTGGAGGGACACCAGACCCTTACGTCTTGCAGACCAAGACAGAGAGGTGTCAATAATTTTGAGCTAAGCTGAGGTGAGCCTGAACTGACACAGGCTACAAGGTCTCAGGAGTAAGATCAGGCCTTTTTTCGATTCAGACACTGAGTCCGAAACCTTCTGCATGCTGAAGACATATGGCTTACACTCCAAACCCCGCCTTACTCCAATTCCTTGACCAGCCACCCTACACCTTCTCACCAAAATCAGTACCGAAGCCCCTAAATGATACCCACCAAGCTTGGAAGGGCAGGGGCTCAGCAAATGTTAGGCGCATGGTTCATAGAAGCCGAAAACTTATTCGGGGAAGCAGATCTGCCACATTGGAGACCCCATAGCAAACCTCAGGCCTGGGATTTTGGAGGGACTTCAGAGACACTATGAGGTGCCCTTTAAGATAAGGCTTCAGAAGCTCCCGGAACCCGGGCATGAAGGGGCCCTCTCATCATGAACTCATGGGGGGTTAGTAGGGAGGGAGGGGGTGTAGTATATAGGGACTATACGAGCTATAGTCTAAACTCGTCAAGATGGGTTGTATAGGAAAGCATTGTATGGGTTATTATGTGGGGGATACTAGGAGATTGGACTAAAGCTCACACAGGGATGATATTCCTTTTTTCCGTATTAACCACCAGTAAGTAGAGGTGCGCCCGCCGCAGCGGCAGCGCCTGCTCCAGGTGCGGTGCGAAGTGCTCGTTGAAGGTGTAGGGTTTAGGGGCCTCCTTAGGAATTCTTTTGCATGTTTTAGTATAGTAACACCCCTACGGGTTGAGTGAAATTGATGATGAAAACTGTCTTGATTAAAGGCTCGGTCTAGCACGTTGATCATCGGATAGCTGAGAAAATACTGTGGGTGCTACAAAGGCTATAGGTTCACTGACTAAGTCCAGTCCTCTAACCCCCAAGTAGAAGCCTGAAGAATCACCAAAAGAATTTCAAAGTTCTATTCAAATCGACAGGACCCTCTAAAGGATCCAAAGAGTGACTACATTGGGGACCCTAGAGGATTATAGGGAGGTGCTGTTTTTTGGGCTCCTCGAGGTGAGCGGGCGTGGATAGGGTTATGAGGGTAGGTAGCTCGAACTGAGCCGGGTCTGTTCCCTTCACTGCTGTCATTGCCGTGATGTTGAGCCATGGTCTAAACTCCTTAAAGGGGGGCTATATAAGGGACTACATGGGGGGACTACTATGTACTATAGAGGTTCCAAAGAGGGATACTAGGAGTTCAGACTATGGCATATTTCAGCCGACGTTCTATCCAGCGCCCGCTCTATAACAATCCTGCACCACACCCTCTCAATCTCTGACTCATGATGACATGGGGGTCTAACAGAGGCACCCTTGACATTTTTTTTGTGGGATTATAAGGAGAGGGTATAGGTATCCGCATTCATCATTCTATAGGGCCAACACCACAAGCAGCACAATCGATTTTGTCGCCTCCTCCAGCTTCGCGGCTTCGCAGTTCCATGGTTGCCACAGACTGACAGGGTAATTAATTCAAGTGTTCAAATTCCTCCCATGAATCCCAGTTCCCGAAGAAGACATCACCCTGCAAAGCCAGTAGGTTACATATGTCCTATACAGCATGGAGATTGGCAAAGAATCTTATGTGGACTTCTCCTAATGGAATTCCATGATCTATAGGACATATGTAAACTGTTGGCTTTGCAGGGTGAGGTCTTCTTCGGAAACTGGGATTCATGAGAGAACCTCCAGACACAAACAACGGGTTTCGGAGATGACAAGATAAGTATTTGATTTGCATTAGCGAGAGCTTAATTCATGTGAACATGTCTAGTTGCAATGAGAGATCTGAGAGAGCGAACTCCATGCGAGGAGATGTCTATGAGGGACGTCCATGGCACTTGATGCCAGTTCGAGGAACATGTCGTTGGAACCTTGCATGCGAAGATGTCGGCTATATTACACTATATATTGCTGCTGTTTATTGAGCTATATGTTTCTGTTCCATGTTGCAGCCTGCAATTCCTGACACCCTTTATTCTCATCAACCATATTCTTATGACCGTTCCCACATGTAGTCTCATTACTGTCTTTCCGTTGTCGAAAGTTTTGTTGCTTCAACGTTGCGCCCGGATGAAACACCTCAGTACCCCGTTGAATATGCTGGGGCGGCATGTTGACTAGGAGCTGGGAGTGTTGAATATTAAGCGGATTGGCTACTATTCATAAGTTCCACCATACCCCAAAACGAGCCCAAACCCCGAACGCCGCATGGTTTGGGGTTTAGGGGTATAGGGTTCCGCGTGATTTTGGGTTGTAGGGTTTGCAGCATCCTCCATCGCCAGCACCGGTGGCCGCCGCGCCGGCGGCAAGTGCGGCGGCGCCGCTTTTGGACCACCAGGCGGGTTCCTTCTTCAGAAGATTTGAATTTCTAGCGGGCCCGGGGACGTTCAGTTTGTAGGGTGTAGGGATACTGGATATGGGTTCTACGGTGTACAGTAGGGTTAGAAGATTCATGATCTTGAGGGGAGAGGCCCACAGTTGACCAGTAACGGGTCCCACTTGAAAGCGCAATAAGTTTTCACAAGCACGTAGGACCAAAAACCGTATCCTTTGAAAGTTCCTCCCTCCAAACCCACATCCTACAAGGCACTGTGCCTTGGAAAGCTTCTCATCAACAGCCCACATCCTACAAGACTCTGAGCCCCAGTATTTTTTGCATTTTTCGCCCAAGCTGCGAACTTTGGATAGGACAAGAACTGGGCCAAGTCGGAGAAGAATCGCGAGATCCGAATGAAGGGTGAGGGTAACTGGGCTGCTGAGCTTCGGGTCTCCAGTTCTTTGTATTATCATTTCGTTTCTTGTTACCATTCTTATTACTAGTATTACTATCATTACTCATATTTTTTCTATTGCTATTATTTCTACTCTTAGTATTAATATCAACTTTAATTACGATGTATTAATGGTACCACTATTCTTCATTGTTGCTGTTGCTTCTACAATTACAAGGACTATTACTCCTATTATTGCTATTCTTGAGGCTTGGGTTGCCAGGGGGTCTGGTGTTTGAAGGGTTTAAGGTTAAGGGGTTAAGGGGTTTAGGGGTTTAGGGGTTTGGGTGTAGGGCTTGCGGACGAGTTTTCATGCTTGTAGGAGGTGTTGAAATGTACCACACCTGGTTGCACAGGAATGTGCGCAAGCATACATCTTAGGAGGACCCCCCACCCGGTAATAGTAGTATAATAGGAATATAAGAGGACACTAATATCATCCGTATTGTCTCTTATAGTCATTTTTACTGGGTGGGTGGGGGGGTCCACCTAACATACATCCCATATGACAAAAACAGGAAGCATCTCCTAGAATCAAAGTAGCCTCCGGAGAGCCCAACTGAACCACACATAGGACACACATAGACCCTGTTTAAGGTAGTTGGGATCCCGGCTGTTCCCGCATCCGGAACCTAAACCTCCTGAGCCCCGCAGGTCTGTGTTTCGGCTGGAGTGAGTTTCCCAAAGCAATGCCAATACAGCTCCTACAGGACAACCCTCTAACATCCCTAGAGCCCCCTCTTGTTGAGAAGCCCAAATGTCACTGCTAAGGCAAGATCCCCGGATGGATTGGGGCCATCTTCTACATGGCCATTCAGCTGAGACTCTGTGAATAATGCCGTAGCTATCGTTCTTGTCATATAGCAATAGCCATTGTAACAGTAACTGTCATTGCAATAGTAGTCATAATCCTAATAACAATAGGACTCGCTGTTGGTATTGCAGTGTTACTAGTGATGGTTAGCTGAGCTTTTCACAGCACTCCCCTGAACAAACATGGAGCGTCTATAATGCATCTAGGGATCATGTACAGAGGGTGTCATACTGTCATACCAAAGGAAAATGAACCTGTAGACCTCCTTCCAGGTGGAGGGATTTTTTCGCTAGGGTTGTTGTGCGTTCCATGTTTGCTCGGATAGGCTCAGGGTTCTGGGCTTGGGATTGGGTTGCAGGATTCAGCCAGCGATCACTGTGAGCACTTTCTTAGGTACGCCTAAATCGTATCGTAGATTGCTGCAGGCATGACGAGGATGTTTCACTATGGCCCCAGGCCCCTATTTGAGAAGTTTCATCTTTAGGTTCCTTGGCATTGTTGAAATGGCTTTTCAGGACACTTGCACATGTGCTCGGTGAGGATTTCTACCTGGTTCTTGTGTCTGGGAGTTCCTGAAGTTCCCACTTGTAGGGTTTTGGAGGGTTTTCCAGCCATTCATGGCCTGGGCACAAGCTACTCCTTCAGTACAGTAGCCCTGCTTTAAATTACCTGAGAGGAAATGAGTCTTTGTAGGGTACATGGCTCGGGGTGCGGGGTTTGTTTGGAAAAATGTCTCATGAGGTTACTCGTCTAAATGGCCTCGCAGTTGAAGGATAGCAATGGCTGAGCCCTAAACCCTAGAACCTTGACCCGCAGTTTTATTCTACATGGCAACCCTATCAACTTGCATGTACCCCTCACATTCCGAGGATGATCTCGATGATCCCCTGAGCATCGATTGGTTCCCTCACCACTTGTTTAAGGTTCGGGTCTGGGCTTAGGGTTTAGGGTTTAGGATCTAGGTTCAGGGTCTAGGTTTCCGCTTGAGGAAGAAAGCTTTGGCACAATTCGGGCTAAGTAAGATTAATGAAGGGAGGACTCTATGGGGGGTGGTAAGGGGACCCCTGACGCGTATTTCAGGAAGGGATGATGGGCCGAACAATTCCAAGGTGCTAGGATTCATGAAGGAGATCCTCTTCACCATTGTGCCGCAGCAGCTGGGTCGTAATGATTTGGGGAAGTTGAAAGCTATGTTCGAACTCAAAGAATGTCTTGATCAGGTAGCTTCCTGGCGGAATAACTCGGACCTGCAATAAGGGACTTTGGTGTAGGGACTACAGGTAAGTTTGAGAATGGATTCTGACCATGGGGGTGAAAAGCGCGCGCAGAACGGGCCTATACCCAGCTTGGTATGTCTTTGTGATATTCGGACTCTACATTGGAGTTGAGAGCTTAGAGTTGAGCTCTGTTCCGTTTTCAAATCTGGACCCTAAACTCAAACCGTAAGTCCATCACAAGAATATGTTTCATGCCACACTTTCCCTGTATACTTAGTCCTGTAATTTCCCCCCTGGCTGCCCCCTCGAAACATTGATGAGCCCTACAGGACCAGACCGTAAAATGGAAGCCCTCCATGAATTCCACCTTTTCGCTTCCAAGACTTTCAGCCTAGTGAGCCCAGAAACCTCCAAACCTGAACATTCGCCACACGTATACCTGGTCTAAACTCCTAGAAGGGGGCTTATATAGGGGGATGATATAAGGGAATATTGTAGGGGTTGTTGAGGGGGATACTAGGAGTTTAGACTATGGCACACATGAAATGCAATCTCAGCCGCGAATTGCCTGAGCCCCAGTGCTCCCTAAGGAAGAACGTCACCTTCAGCAGTGACCGTATCGGACTCACCCGTTCCGCCATGCTGCTGGGACCCAGGGTTGGCGAGCTTTTTTGTAAAGGTTCATGGGACGTAGCAACTACTTCTCACTGGTCTTATGACCCCCACCCCCTAACTGGACTTATGAAGAATACCTCAATAAACAGCAGGGCGCCAATTCCAGTTGCAAGCAGCTATTAAGTCCCATCATCCTCTAAGTAAGGCTTGGGGTTTTTGAGGCCTTAGATTGACCTAGGGGGTGTCCTGTGTTGTTTTCAGTGTACTTTACTCTGAGAAAGCAGCTTGAATTACAATTTCGTCCAGGGATCCTGGACAGTGGATCCCCAAAAAGTCCAAGAACCTGGGTTTGGGGTTTAGGCGAAACGGCTCAACCCACAGCTTCGAGGTAGTTTGTAAAAACATTCCGCCTGTCTATAGTTGCATCTGATTTGAAAGAAACATTCTCTGTGCTTCAATCTTGACACTTCTTCAGCCAGCGGAGATTCCCATGAATTGAGGCTGAAAGCAGAAACAGTAGACCCCAACTCCGAAGATCTTTGAACCCTTGCCATCAAGACCTCCCGGACTGTACCCAACATCTTGGAATCCACCCAGGATCCACACTCCCATTTGAGTGAGGTTTCTGTTTATCTTCATCATCATCCACGCCGTGGGCAACCTGCATGTCTTCCTAGGCAGCCGCAAGTAAGGTGCTTGCCTGGCTCTAAATTCGGATGAACCTACGCAAGGATATATATACATATATATGTATATATACCTGAAAAAAGTAGAGAGCTGACGCAAGATTCAAAGGGTAGGTCCATCAGCACTCGTCCAGGGAGGAGCCTAACAGCTGAAGGCGCTGTGGTTACAGTCCAAAACTTGGTTGTCCCTTGAAGGTGTTCATCGGCTGTATGGAGATCTAACATCTATGGCGGGTATATAGGGATATGTGTGGGTTTTGAGAAGATGCTTTAGGGTTTGGGGAATTTATTCCCAGGGTCAGTAGATTTTTTTTGGCTCAGGAAGAGCGGGGACCCTTCGCGAGGCTTTGTCTCCAAAGAGCGTGTTCTAGATCTTCATCCTACGAACAAATTCCCAATTGAAGGAAGTGTTGCTGTAGTGGAACTTCTCGCTCTCCCAACAGGCTAGTCCATTCTCGGAAAAGGGTGGAGCCAGGGTTTTATTCAGATCACCAGATCGCTAGGGTGGGGCGATTGTTGGGTTCTTTGTTGCTTGAGAACACATTGAACTCAAAACCCGCCTCGCGCTTGCAACAAAAGGGCAAATGGGCTGATGCATCGGTTCTGAAGTCTCTACCTTCCTTGTCAGCTCCTTCTCCCTGAGCAGCATCGCGTTTCAAGTCTTGTCATGACGTCTGTAGGGTAAAGCTTTGAACCTCGTCCTTATCATAGGCGTGGGCAGGAGGTTCACTACTTCAGGGTGGTTTGAAGCAGAGTTCTTTTCAATCACTGCTTCGTATGTGCTTCCGGAACTCGCACAAACAACCAGAACGACTTTTCACCTGTGAGTTCAGCATCCTAGGGGGGTGTTTTGGCAGGTAAGTCCTGTGAAAGCACAAACCTCGCCCTTACATGGGCCCAAGTGAAGGTAGAACGCGCGGGGACTCAAGTGGTGGTGAAGATCAGGGTTTGGGTTTTTTTGACTCATGATTGGTGGGTAAGGGCCAATGATGCAGTGAGGTCCATGGTCCTACAGGGCAAGCCCCACAACGCAAAGTATTTTGAAGATAAGACCTCGCAGGGCCGGATGACTTCAACGGCTACGGCTACTTCTACGTGAGGCTTTACTGGACGGGCTTTGGCTTCCAGGCACGGGCTATCTAAATCAGTTGTTTTTTCCAGGTGCAGCCTCTGGGCAGCCAAAAATAACTCCCTGCATATGGTTGTTTATTTGGAAGACAGTGCTGACATGGCAAAGTATGCGCGTTTAGCCAGATGTCGTGATTTTAGTGGGATTCGTGAGCTAAGTTTTTCCGGTACAGATTCCTTCAGGGATCAGGGGAACCCTATGCTACTCTGGAGCTCCCAAGAATCTAGTGGTCCGGGAGTACCCATAGGATAGGGGTTGTTATTCGATGCTATTGGAGGGGCCCCAATTTCTGGAAGCTCCCCCATATTATCTCAAACTTATTGATTGTTAGTGCTGACTGGAGGAAAGGATCCTATTTGTCGATCCTGCATAACGCAACATAAGGTAGTAGCTTCCATTTATTTTCCACCATTTTGTCTTCCACTATACATTCCGGTCCCTAAAACCCTAATTGAGCGATAGTCTAAACTCCTTAAAAGGGGTTGTATACGGGAGTATATGGGCGACTACTATAGGTGTGAAAGGGGATACTAGGAGTTTGGACTATGGCTCAAATGGTAGTTTCCATTTTCTTGTCCACTACTGTATTTCCCGACACCCTAAACCTAAAACCCTCCATCAATCATCCAGAAAAGGCCAACATCGTGGAGGAGTACATCCTGCTGGCAGCGCTGCTGCACGTCGTGGTTGCACTGACGCTTGACTTTGGCGACTATAACTTGATGGATTGTATAGGGTTTATGTAGGGGTGTTTCGGGCTTCATAGGGGTCATATAGAGATAACGGAAAAGAACACACAAACTACTATACTTTGTGGTACTTGCAGCGATCCACTACTATGACTCTTCTTACTGATTTCTATTATGTGACTACGGCTAGTTCCAGTACCAAGTAGGTGCCAGAAGAATCGCTAAAGATACATGAGCTATAGTATGAACTCCTTCAAGGGATCTATGTGAGTGTGTAGTGGAGTACTATAGGGCTTATTAATGGGGATACTAGGAGTTTAGATTATATCTCACATGCTTCCAGGTTTCAACTGAGTACTTCCGAGTCTCGCTTTCCTCAGAGCCATAGTCAAAACTCCTCGCAGTAGTCCTCTACATGGTACTTTCCCAAAATTAGGGTACCCCAATATAGACCCCAATATATTATAATCCTTAATATGGGGACTCCCAGAAACGTACCCTTAATTTTGGGAAACTCCCACATAAAGCCCTCTAAGGAATTTAGATTATGGCTCATGCTCCCGACCAGGAGACCTTGAAATAAGCGACATTCAGTTTCTATGTACCAAGGTCCTAGGATCCAATGTCCATGTTTCAGTAGCTTAAAGAAGCAGACCCAATCGCTTAGGGTCGCTCTATCAGATTGTCATCCACTGTAATGCCATTAGGAGGCAAGAGGTGAGTATATGGTCGATTTGGTCGTGCCAAAAATGAAGTCCTGCCTTTTGATCTTCACCTGCTCCAATGAAACGCAATCTCTAGTCTCTACATCCCCAGAATGCATGTGGAAATCCAGGAAGAGGACCTGGGAGATCAGCATCAACTATGCCCTCAACTCCGGCAAGATGTGTCTGGATTTCTTGAGCACACTTTTTGACCCTTCTGGTGGGCAATCGCAAGCAGCTGCCCAGCAGCCCGCGGCGCCAAACGCCAAAACTTGTGTATGAGCCATAGTCTACACCCCTGAAAGGGGGGGTTCTATGGGGATTATTCAGGGGGGATTTAGGGGGTTATTAAGGAGGATACTAGGAGTTTAGATTATAGCTCATGAAGCACCAAATCCAAATGAGGCCTAGCAAATCTAAACCGTAGCAGCACCACGCACAAGGGAAACTCGAAGCTTGGAACACCCATCTACGTGTCAAGGAACCTTGCGCTTTCGGGCATTAGCTTGCTGACCTTCATGATGATCCACCTCTACCAGTTCCGGTGCCTTGGATCTGCGACTTCTGCAATTAGGGCTACCCTCGTGGTACCTGGGATTCATGGTCTTACAAGAAGGTCATGGGGAGCGTTTTTCAAGGCTCCAAGTTTTAGATTTCCAAAAGCACCTTCATTTTCAAAGCCGAAGACGCAAAGACTACAACAAGTCCCTGAAGCGCCTGTAGAATCATTCAGTTCCCCTATCTCCACACATCCCGGAGGCTCGCTCCAAACCCCTCAAAGTCCACAGACCCTCACAGCCTGACCCGAGTCGGGTTTAGGGTTTAGGGCCAACCCTCATCTTCAAACACTAACGACCAGGTTCGGCGACACCAAGCCCTGGAAGCTTTGCCCTCCGCCGTACCTGCTCAACCTGGACACGCTGCCTTCGGGCTATGGTTTTGGCGGTTTTGGCTTTTGCTTCGCTCCCCTAGTATTACACCCCTACGCCCCCTAATATTTTCTATTCCTCATTGTGGTATACTGTAATCTCTTGGGAGTATGTAGTAACGGGGTGGGGGGGGTTGTGGTTTGATAATATTGGGTGGCGTGGATTAATCTATCTAGGGCAAGCGTAACCCCAGCCGTAAGCAGAAGCCCGACCCCAAGCCCTGAATCCCATCCTACAACCAGCCCTGCCTTAAACCATACTTTGGGGGAGGGCTTCGTAGACTTGGTAAGTATACTTCTAGCCCTATACCCCACATAGTAACCGAAGCCATCACCATTATTAGTCCTTTTACCAAGTGCTCCATAGCACCCTCCAAGTAGACCCTGAGAGCCAAGGCTTCACTTGAGGCTGAATCTGGCAGCATGGAAATATTGGGATAGTATGGGGTATATTGGGGTAGTATTGGGATAATGGAAAAGAAAATGGAAGCTACTAAAATGGGTTATATAGGGGTTTTATGATGAGTCGCTTTCTGCTTTTCTGCTTTGGCGAAATATACGGGAGCATTTAAATTGAGGTTTGAAGTTTAGGCGTTTTGGGTCCTATATCATTTTGAACTGAGCGGAGACTCCCATCGCCGAATATCGGTGCCCCCGTTTTGCCTCAAGAGCGTGCTGTCTTTGCAGGCAGTGCGAGGTTAATCTCTGTCTAGGGCCTCCAAGTGGGAAGGTGCCAAAGAGAAGGCCCTAAACCCTAAACTTGGGGTCATGCTTGCATCCCGGAGTCGTCACTTTGAGATCCCTCCCCCAGCATTTTGAAAGCGCAGGTTTGGAGTCTGGGCCTCAGTCTTCAGCATTCAGTCAATCATTGTTCATCAACCAGGAACCCCAAACATGCAACGTTTCTCTGGGGTCTACAATAAACAGCGGATAAGAGCCCGAGTTTGAAGCCATGCACCCTGACCCTGGTCCTCTATGAATCCCAACTGAACCCTCACATCCTAGGCATGCCTAATCCCTCAAACACTGAGCTCCAAACTAACCTGGACCTGAAAGCCCAATGTCCCCAAAACCCTTAAACCTAAACCCTGTAAGGAATCTCTTCTGGGTCGACACCCCGGGATGCGAGTCCGTTTACGTGCGTGACATCTACCGCATGGAGTTCGAGATCTTCCAGCTGCTGGGACTCAACCCTAAACCCTAAACCCTAAACCCAGCAGCTAAACCTTAACCTTTGCGAGGTATTCGGACCCTGATTTGGACAGTTGTCAACAGTGTGATCTGTTATGGGGGGTTCCCTTAATACGAGGGTCTGCGTTATACCGGGGAACCCCAAAAGTATGAGCTTTTAGGGCAGTCAAAATACAAAGAAGAAGCTTAGGATAAGCCTTCTTGGGGTTTCAGAAGGGATTCAGAGAGCAACTTCTGCTGCATTGACTTCTGCTGTGCGCATCATGAGGAAGATCTCATATGGTCCCCCTTAAGTAGATAGAATATGGGGTATATGGGGATCTTATTATAATATACCCAAAGCCATATTCTATCTACTTAAGGGGGACCATATCCCCAAGGGCTTCGGGAGAATCGAACGCCATGGAGGACTTAGTCTTTCAACAAGCTTACGCCAAGCCTGAGCATTTGAGGTCTCTCGGTTGGGTGCTCTTCTACATGTCGGCAGTGATCATCTTCAGCGTCCACATGCGCCCCCGACCAAACTTGCCCTTCATAGCCTTTTTTTGGAGTTGCTCGGCTTTTGGGAGGCGTTTACAGAGAGGTGACACCGTCATCTTGACATCCTGCCCTAAAAGAAAGACAATAACCCCTACCCATGATTAATAAACCCCCTCCCCTAAATAGGGATTATAATAGGGATCCTAAGATTTAGGGCCTTAAAAGGAGGAAGTTTTATTAATCATGGGTCTACATTAAACCCTGAACCCTAAATAGTAGTTTCCATTCTCTTTTCCATTTTCCCTCTATAATACTCTATAACCCCTACATATATACCCTATTATAGTAGTTTCCATTTTATTTTCCATTATCCTTAATCATGGGTCTACATTAGTCAGAGGAATGAAGAGAGGCCTTGTCTGAGTCATTCTACTGCTTGAGTCAGAGGTTCAGACCTGTGTGTGCGGCGTGGGAACCTGAAGAATTATAACATCTCCTTACAGCATACCTCAAAGATGCGTTCCCATAATTTAGGCCCTTTCATGGTGTTGCTTAATGTATGATGTCCAGAAGCCTTTTTAGTTGCCTGTGCGTGTTTGCATTAGATCAGATGTTGGTTCGGCGTCTGGGGTCAAGTAATCAGAGAGAAGCTCAAAAACCTCCTACCACCTCAGGCGTCCAGTCCTGGGAAATGCGGTGGAGGGGCGGTTTTGGGAAGCAATGACTTAACCTCCTAGCTTGTCGCTTCATGCCAAAACCAGACGCTAATTAATGCTTTGAATCTACATCTCAAAGCTTCAGAAAACATGAAAGCAGGCCACAATGACAATTTACAGACTACCGCTTGCGAGTTGGTGTGAGCATCTAAAACTGGCAAGAGCCTCGGGGACTGGGCGATATTCAGTTTTGTATTTGAAAGGTCAAATCTTCACAAAATCCCATTTGGGGCGGGGGGATAGTCGGATGCCACGTAGGGGCAATCATGAGAAGATGAAAGTTATCTGGGCTCGACAATCTAAACATCCTACGGAGTTGATCTTAACAAGGTCCTGTGGGGCAGTCATCTCCGGTTCCTGTTCCTGTGTGGGCTGTGTGGGCATACAACAGAAAACATGGGTGAAATAGTTTTCCAGTATGGCCATTTTGGGAACAAGACATTTTCACCAACTACCATTTCAACCCTAGTTTCCATTTCAGTTTCATGTTCTGCTTGCATTTGATTCTCCACTGTAGGGGCCATAGCCTTATAATACCCCTGAACCCTACCCAATCCCCCAAATGCCATCGTTCGCCAGGTGCCTTGGTTGGCAGAAGGCCGTGCCGGCGCCACACCTCGAGATCCCCAAGAAGCCCTTTAGCTCATCGAGGGGCTTAGGGTTTGGAGGGCTTAAGGCTTCGGAGTTTAGAGTTTACAGTTTTTTGTTTTACTTAAGGGTTTATAGGGTAGGTTAGGGTTATAGGGTTTAGGGCTGAAGGGCTATAGCTGATCCCTGTTGATGGTTTAGGGTTTCGGGGTTTAGGGCTTACAGCATAGGGTTGAGGGGCTTATAGGTACAGGTATAGGCGAGTATAGTACAAGTTGCACTTAGGGTGACAGGGCCGGGGGTCTAGGGTCTAGGGGCGGTTGCCCTCATGCAAGCTCAGAAGGTCTAAGAGATGATACAGTGCACATGTCACCGGCATTCAATAGCTTTGGGATTGAGGCTTTTCCTTGCCCAAGTTATATAGCACAGGAAACCCAGAAGGGCCTCCTACATGCGGCTCCATGTCTTGGATGAACGATTATGTTGAGCAACGGATTTCGCAGGAACTGCTTTCAGAACATCAGCTAGAGTTGTGTGTGTCTTATGTGAGATCCTTGATTACTCCTGTGCTCATTGTTACCACCCTGTTCCCAGGAGAGTGGATTTCGGCAAACCCAACCCCTGAAGAAGGAACCTAGTCACATGATGTCATATGATACTTTGGGTCCTTGGCGTTAGCCAGAACCTTTCGTTATCACGCCTAGTGTCAGCCATTTGCGTCTTGACAGATTGGGAGGGTCTTGAAGTGCCCTAAACCCTAAGCCATCAACCCTAAATCGCAAACCCAAGCCGTCTCAGAAGCAAAGCCCGCCTACCCCCGACATTGAATGCGTGCCCCCGAAAAGGATTTTACGCAGAGAACAGCTTCAGGTACCACAGCCGGGCGGTACACATGGGCTACATCTTCACCTTCTTCATCTCCTTGATCTACATCAGCTCCTTGAATTGTTCTAGGAGCTTTCATGTAGATTTTGTTTCTTGAACATCACGCAGATCATTGCATCACCCAACGTCGGTAAAACTTTAAACCAGAGAGGGCTTGCAGTCCTAGACCTTTTGGGGGGTTTGGGTTTTGTGAAGCAGGCAGCCAAAAAAGAGGCAACCAAAGCAACAAGATCCCAGAAAGCCTAAACTGTCGGAAGCCGAAAGTGCCTTACCCACCCCCCTTAAGACCGTGGATTCAAGAGATGACTGCAATGTCTTCAAATCTTCCTCCCGATGTACTATGTACGCAACAAGTTGATGCGGATCTTATCTATACGAACCACCAAAGACGGCTTCCTACGGTTCCAAGTACCCAAAAAGAGAGGTATGAGGTCCCGGATACTACATATAATCTGAAAGGATTCTGTAAACCCCCAAAAAGTTAGGTGCTTGGACCGTTAGGTCTTGAAGGAGGCGTCACACTAGCCTCCTTTAAAAGAGTCGTGTCTTGATTGAATGTTCAGTACTTATGCATTAAGGGTTTTGGCAGGGTTTTAGATTTTAGGGTTCAGGGGGTTAAAGATTCAGGGCTTGGACCCTCCAGGCAGGGACCCCGAATTTCATCGTGCCCCAATGTCCCTCGCAGGCTTCCCGCTCTACTGCCACATCTTCACGATGTCTAGCGGCAGCCCCTTTTCCTTGAAAGGTGATGGGGTAACAACTTTTCCGTAGAAAAAACAATGCTGCTACAATATACCTGTTAACCCTTTGGGGGCCAAGACACTCAGCAGCTTGGTTTCTGTGTTTGGGAAGCGGCTGTAAGTTTGCGCCAGTATTCAGTCCTGTTGTCAAGATTGTCTGAGGGTTTCCAATGACTACGGGTGCCTATTTGCCTATTTGGGTGATCCTGGTGTAAAATGTAAAGCAAAGTGTGCATTTTCCGGCACAGAAGCTGGATATTCATTTTGGGAAGTCCCCATTTGACGGCTATCTGTGCAGAACTGCAGAATGAGTGTATGAGAGCTTCTGAAATTGTAGTCCCCCTTCCATCTACTCAAAGGGGACTGCAACCTGAAAGAGCCTTCAGGGAGAGCTCTATAATCTCCTATAAGCCCTGCATAACCTGGAGAGTCTCTGGGGCGCGCGTGCTTTCAGAAACCACCAGCCCTGGGCCCTAGATCACAGACCCTGAACCTGGAACCACAAACGCCAAATGCATGTATGGTTCCGGTATATCGTTGTGTAGCCCCTAAAAATTGGGAACCATATATCATTCAGTTCCAGGCTGGGACTTAAGTGCGGCGACATTATCACTGAGGCTTGAGCACAGAGCCGGCCGAGCCATAAGCGACCCTGAACCCTGGCCGCTGTTGAGAAGCTTACTCCTACCTAAATGCCAAGAGTGTGTTGAACAATACGGTCTTCGGCTCTTGTTGTGGGTTTGTGGCCATTTTTGTACTTGTTGAGGTTGTCGGGTTTGGCATCGTCGGGTTTAGGTTGTTGGATTTTCGAGCGTGGGAGTTGAAAGTTACGCTTTGGGACCTAGAGCTTGCAAACTCGGTTAGTTTATACTTGGTTCATGTTTAAGAGATACCATAGGTTTTGAGGCGAGATCTAAGGACGCTGCCTTGAGAAGCGTCGGCATGTCTTAGGTGGACCCCCACCCTGTAATTGTGGTATAACAGGAACGTAAGAGGACGGTCCACCTAAGTTATGTCCATAAGCCTGACGTGCCAAAGCCTGCAAGCCTCCCCCCACCCTGTCTGCCTTGACCCTTGACCGCGCATTCCATACTCCACCTCCCGCTCAAAGCCCTGCAGCCCTGAGTTCTAGACTGCAAGAAAAACTTCGGCCCCAAATCCTAAGCTATACGTCCTTGACCCTTTACATTAAGCCCGAGTTCCTTAGGGGTAAATGGTAGTTTCCCAGAATAAGGGGGCCCCAATATAGTCCTTCTTATGGGGACCCCCAAAAAGGTACCCCTAAGTCTAGGAAACCCCAAATCTTTTATAAACCCTAAACCCTAAACCCTGAACCCTAAACCCTGAACCCTAAACCCTAAACCCTAAACCCTGAACCCTAAACCCTGAACCCTGAACCCGAAGCCCTTGCAAAGCAGAGCCCAGGTGATCCGTTCCGTTTCCTTAAACTTTGTTTAATCACATGTCGTGAGCCTGCAACATAGATTTTGGACATGCCCATGCCGGTGCCCAAAAAGACCGCGGGTGTGGTAGGCTTAGGGTTTAGGGTTTAGGGTTCAGTGGTTAGCAGGGAAGGAAGGAATGGGAGGAATGGAAAAACATAAAACATGGAAATTACTATGTTGTTAGGAATTTTATGGGGACTACTGCAAGGATCCAGTCCTTCCTTGCTAGCCAGGGATAAGTATGGAGTTTGCCTGTTCTGAGGGTCAACAATTGGCGAGCACATTTTTTGCAACTGCCATGCGTAGGGTGAAGTACTAGCATTCCCGCACTGTTTGGTGCTTGGCTACTTCAGGCTCAGTGGGGGAGGAACTTTTCGATGCGGAGAATTCTCCGGATCCTGTTGATGATTCTTGCGAATTCGCATTAGCAAGACAGAGTACATCGGCTTACTTCTCCCGAACAAACAAGTGTAGAGTGAAGCGGCTGCTCCGCATCAAAAACCCACTGGATCCAGAGACTTTGCTAGGGACCCATGTAGCCTCCCTAAGACTGCAACCCTAAACCCATAAGCCCTGTAAACCCTAAACCCTATAAGGGTGGTTGTCAAAATTATGGTCCCTTTTTGGGTCCCTATTATAGTACGGCACCTAATAT